TCGCCTACGGAATCGAATGAGTACTTTCATAGCCCTCTAGGATCCTTAGTAAAGAAATTGGAAAAATAGCCCATTTCATGGACCAAAAAATTGACGTCCATCTAGCGGTGACAGTTGGAACTAATCGAAAAAAGTCCATGAATTACATTTTTTTTCTAATTTCGTTATTAATAATGCTAGCGTGTTATAATGGTATTCTATCGATTCCTTAGGCGACAAGGAACAATTTGTATATCTCAGAATTTCGGAAAAGTGCCTAATTTTCGAGAAAATCGAGATTTTAGTTTTTCGTAGTTCCGCCGCTCGCCGCTAGATGGCGCCACCTGTACCGTTTTCGACCGAATTCGACAAAAATTGATTTTCTGGCTTTATTAGGCATCAAAACGCATCAAACCCTAATGGAAATTTGTTTCTAAATGCCTCAGGAACCATACTACGTCACCAAAGTGCCGAAATATTCATTTTTTTATTTTCCTTATTTGCGTGTTCAGACCCTCACTTTTTGGGATCAGTTTCTTCGGTGATTATTCGTTCGTGGCAAGTCCGATTAAAATTTTTTTTTTTCTATGTCCTTCTTGATGTACATACGCATGTGCATGCAAAATTTGACGAGAATTGGTTGAGTGGTGCAAAAGAAAAACGCGGACAAACAAGTTGCAAAGTCAAGCATAAGAGCTTCGTCGCTCAATTAAATGTTAATTAAAACGAAAGATATCAAAATTTAAAAAAAATGTTTTATTATATTTTTTGAAGATTTTTACAAATTGTTTTAACTATAGACATTTCACAAAATTCACTTTTGGAGAAAATTATCTCAAATTCTAGAACGAAATAAAATGAATTCAAAGATGTACATTTATCACCATTCTTTTCCAGCCTGTGCACATACAAACTTGTACTTCGTAATGAATAATACCAAGTATCCTCTAATACTTTGTATGGACAATATATCATATGATATTATACATTAAATATTATGAACATGAAGTAGAACTGCCAGTTATAATACAGAAAATAGTGTACCTCGTATAGAAATGTAAAAGTCAATTTGAAAAATATTTGGTTTAATTATGTCTTGCTACTACTTAGATACATTGATAATGAAAATCTTTGATTATATCAGGAGATTCAGATTGAAATTGAAAGTAAACCTTAATAACGTTTCAGCGTGTCGCAATGTTTTCGATATTTCAAAATATGCTCGACCGATTATTTAAAAAAAAAAAAAAAAAAATTACACCACCCGTGATAAAGATAAAATTATTGTTTAGATGTAACATGTGTACGAATGGTAATTTTACATTTGTTTAAGAAGACTTGATTTAAAAGAATATCTTAATTGGATTATAAAAGTGTATCGCACGCATTCTCGAATAAGTCTAATCTTAGTTCATATGTTCTTTCTATGTTCATGAAAAATAAAAAACAATTGATTATGAACTACGGTAAATTGTTCATTTAAATGAGTTCATACGTATCCGAGTCTATTGTTATAAAAACAAAATCAAATATCTGATTATACATCTCGCAATGTGCATGTAAGACATATAGTACACATGTCTTTGATATTTCGTATTTGTACGTTTTGAGCATAAGACATAATAAATTACCCATTCTATTTTCTACATACGACAAATTTCAAACGGGAACAGCATACTATCAATACCGAAGACTTTATTATATCAATTATTTTAAATAAGAATATTATGTTTCTTTTTTCCCTTCAATTTGTGTTTGCGCCGACTGTTCTGCTTCTTTTGTAATAACTGGATGATCTTCGTAACTGAAAAATAATAATTAACAATTTACGATTCGTTCACTAACGTTACACAGAATATCGCAAACGAAATGTTTAATAATACATACGAAAATAATGCCTTTATATCTCCTTTAACTAACGCCAAAAGTAATGGAGTTCCTAAACAGGCAGGTACTAAGTACAGTAAAGCCGGTTGTGCGTGATCAAACAAATGCATAATAAGCATTGTTGCCAACAGTCCCATGAAGTATGCGAAAAACGTTGCATAGAAGTACACGTTTGTTTTTCTGCTCAAACTATTGTCAAATCGTAACAAAAGAGCAATAAATATTCCAGGCAGAACAATATCTCCCAAACCCAACATAGCAAAGTTGCTAGCGGTAAGACCTTTTTCTAATATATCTTGCGGGAACACTAATTTAATTGGTACCTCGAACGATTTTGCCACGGTTACCATCACGTCGGTACCAAATACCCAAAATGCATCATAAAAGAGTAGTCCACAAAGCAAAATGCATCCTGTTATAACATTATTTAAATGCAATAATTCAACTCCATTAATTGCAAACGCAATGCCAAATAAATTATTGGCAATCCAATGCTGAAAATGATAACAATATTATTAATTATTTTCATGGCGATCAATTTCTGTTTAAAGCACCATTTGACAATACCTTCTTTAATAAATACCAAGCTCCAATGAGCGAACAACATATCAAGCAGACAATATCGTGAAGATTAAATTTATAATTGATAATATGTTTCGCCTTGTCACCTTCGCCTCTAGTAAAAAGTATGTGATACTGAGTTTTTGGAATTGCGGCAGGTACCAAAGATGAAATTAACGGACTGCAATCATCGAATATAAATGTTACATATAACATTTAGATAACATAGTTATATTATATAAATAATTATCGATGAATAAACGATACCTAGTAAGATGGCATAAAGCTAAAATTCCTAAAAAGAAAAAATATGCAGCTAAAATTTGGTTGACATATTCCTTTGCGAATACCTAAAAACAATATTTATATTTTAATATAAGAACAACAGTTTACACCATTTAAAATGAAGTCGATGTCACCTTATATAATACATAAAGACCGACTAATGTAAAACTGGAAATGAAAGGAAATATTGCTGCTTCTTTGCGAGACATTATGTCTGGCTGTTCTCCACTTTCTTTATATTGTTGCTGTAAGACATATAAATATAATTTGTATCATAAATAGTATTTAATTGATAAATGTTATGAAAGCACTCATTATCTGATATTATCTGAAGGCATAAACAGAGCAGTTTTGATACTTTAATTTGATGTATGTCATTTAACATTTTAAATTTAATGAAGAATTATGAATGTATCGAAGAAAATTATTTAAACGTCACGCGTGAAGCGAGTACAAAATTAATTAAAATCTATTCAGAAGAAACGTACAAAACATATGCCAAACGTGTGACTAACCTGCTGCTCCTTATGGTGTTTAACAGCTCGATAACTACCAAAGAAAATAGGTAAAATAGCCATAATTATCAAACTTCCATAAGCAATAGCCATTCCCTCGGGTGTCGAGGGTACTCTTCCCGTTATCGGGACATTGTTTTCGGTAATATTTTCAATCGTTTGAGTTGTCAGCTCGTTCACCTCACTTGCCATCTTGAACCTATTAATTCGACTGTGTATAGTTACACGAGTGACACGACTTCAAAAGGAAATCTTCGAAAAAATAATTTACAGATAGATGAACGTATGTCACATTTCCTCGTTCGATGTACGTAATTTTTATAAATAATAGAATTAGTTTTACCAGATAAAAAGGGATATAATGTTCCTAAAGGTATTTATTGTCAATGATAACAGCATTTTGTTCAATTGTTTATTATTATCACAATTTCATACAAATATCGTAATTTATCAATATTATCAAATCCGTACAAAATCGTTTAATTAGAAGCAACCTTTAGCTTCAAAAAAACACGTGTCAAATAAACATTGCTTTACAGTAGTCTTGTCAAATTGAGTTTTAGTGCAGCGACGAAAACCGCTCTGAAAATGGCAAACAAACGTTCACAAATGAATGGTAAACATTAATAAATAATAATTGTTGAATTAAAAAATAGGAAAACCTATGTTCAGAAAAAAAATACGGCATGAAATAATTTGAAAGCGTTAATAAGACTTTCAGTCAGAGAAGAAATTTAATTGTGATTTAAAATCACCATTATAATCTATTACTCAGATTACTCAATTTGATGCTGCTTAATTTAAAAAGAATAAAAAAAAATAAAAATGTTATGCGAACGAATATTGTCTGCAATTACGTATTAAAAAATAAAGTTTTACATTTAATTAGTACAATTAACAGGATAACGTTAGTACATTCAATAAATCTTTTTCTCTTTTCTATACAGTCCGTATTTTGAAAGTGCATATTATAAATATTTGCAATATTCAACTACTATAATTTCTCTTATTTTGTAACAATATCATTCTATATAATATATTCGTTTCATTGTTTCAGCAGATTCCAATGAATTAAAACATTAAACGATGAAAACGCTAATTATAAACTTTTCAAGAAATACACTTAATCTGCTGTATAAGGAAATCAGTATTAGATAGTTTGGTAACAATGTAAGTTCTTACCAAGAGATGTTTATTTCTATACCTTTGAAAGAAGCTTTAAAAGAAGGAAATTGTGATAAGCGGTAAGAAGAAACAGGATATGTGTTTTGATTTGTGCTAAACAATTATATAAAATTTTATATAATTTATATATAAAACGGAAAAAATGTATTCGAATTACATCACCAACAAAAGATTATATCATCGAGGACAAATTGATGTAATGGACATGCCAGTACAATTCACTTGTAATTACAAATATTTCTTTGTTTACGAGGATCAAATATCTAGGTTTGTGGTACTAAAAGGTCTACATGGAAATACAGCAAGCGAAGTAGCTATGAAACTCTTGGATATATTAACTATTATTGGAGCACCGCAAGTGTTGCAGAGCAAAAACGGGCGTAATTTCGCGGAACAAGTTGTACAAGAGTTACGTTTATTATGGAAGGATTTTATAATACTTCATGGAGAAGTTTCTGAAAGCGAAGAAAACAACAGGGATTTTAAGAATTTACTTGAATGTTGGATACAAGAAAATCCGACAAAAACATGGTACGAAGCATTGAAACATGTACAAATTATTCAGAATTCGACGTTTCGTTGTGAAAATGGAAAGATTCCTTACGATATTTTATTTGGACGAAATGTACACGAAGAATTCCAAAAACAAATTAATACTATAGATCCAATAGAAGATATATGGGCAGAAGAAGAATGGGTTGATTTTACATTCGATTCGAAAGATGCGATCATTAAGGAAATAAAGGATGGAAATGAAAATTTAACCGAGGATTCAAGCATGATGGATGCAAATAGTGTAAGTATAATATTAGTCATTTATAAATGAAGTACTATTCTTTAATCGTTCTTTGATTTACTAGTCAAGAGAATTCGATGACGATCCCTACATCGATGATATCGACGAACCCCAGAGGGACACACTTGGTTTTAATTTTGTTAACGTCAGGAGCGAACCTTTAAATATACACACCGAAGATTTAATGTTTGAGGAGGAACCGATAATGGATGATAAAATAAAGCTAGAACCTCAAGATCTAAAGTGTACAGTTTGCCAAAAACAATATATGAAACCTGGTCATTTAAAGAATCATATGAGAACACATACGAAAGGAAAGATGTTTGAATGCAAACTCTGTAATAAAAAGTTTCATGTCATAAATTTGTACAAAAAGCATGTGAGACAATCTCATACAGAAAATAAGTTACCAAGTTTGATTAGAACCAGAAGTAAAGATTTACAAGATGATTCAACTTTAGATGTAAAACCGGTTGAATACAAGTTTACTACAGAATTAATTTTAAGCGATATAGAATCTAACGTGACGGACGAATTTCCAAAAGCAACAAAAAATTCGAATCTTGTTAAGGAAAGGAAAAAGGTTCCTACAGAAAGTCGTCCATTAAAAATGAACGGGGATCCAAATCTGCAATGCTCGTTCTGTAATCAGAAATTCAATTTTCCTAGTGTACTGAAAAGACATATGCGATCTCACACAAATGAACGGCCGTACATCTGTGATGTTTGTAATAAAAGCTTTAAACAACTGGGTCATCTTAGCCAACATTCGTTGACGCATAAGGATTATCGTTCTTTTCTCTGCACCATTTGTGGAATAAAATTCGAAACGTTGAGTTCATTAAAAGTTCACTCTCAGTCGCACAAAGAAGCCTACATTTCAAAAACTAAGGAGACTTTCCGATTATTCGAGTGTGATAATTGTAAAAAGGTGTTCACCACTAAAAGCGTATTAGAGCGACACATACTTACACATTCTCACGAACGTCAGTTTGCCTGCGTGGTTTGTGGGAAAAGATTCAAACAAGCAGGACACGTGAAATCTCATATGTTGGTGCATACAGGTGAACGAAAGTTCGAATGCACGGTATGCAAAAAGAGATTTAGTCTTTCCAATTCCCTTAAGAAACACATGTACGTGCACAACGGAGAAAAACCATATCAGTGCGACGTATGCGGTGCACGGTTCCTTGAAAAGAGAAATTTAAACGGACATCTTATGACTCATACGAACGAGCGTCCATTTCGCTGTAAAATTTGTGGGAAACGGTATACTTTGGCAGATACTCTGCGCCGTCATATAAGTGCAGCTCACGAGGATGGTCGCACGTACCAATGCGAAATTTGTGCAAAAATGTTTAAACAACTTGCACACTTGTCCGTTCACAAGAAAGTGCACAACGACGAGAGACCGTTCCAGTGTCATTTATGCGAGAAAAACTTTAAACATAAAAATGTGCTCAAGTCTCATTTGGCTATTCATGCCAACGTAAGGCCATTCGAATGCGATGTATGTAAGGCTACGTTTGTCAGAAAGACAAATTTACAGACGCATATTGCATCGGCTCACATGAACGAAAGACCGTACGTTTGTACTATATGCGGAAAACGATTTAAGCAAATTAGTCATTTAAATGGTCACGTCGTAGTACACAGTAATTTAATGCCTTATCAATGTGATTTTTGTGATCGGCGATGTAACAGACTCGATAACTTGAAAAAGCACATGCGCCTCCATACGAAGAACAAAGAACAAATACTATAAGAGTTTTTGTAACGCACAGAACATTTAAAATTATTTCAACATGAAACTGAACGTATTGAAATTGTATATCAACTCTAATATCAAATTAATTTTAGAAATTTAATCTACGAATGATTAATTCGCGTTGACACGAAGTATATATTATATTATTTGTAATTGTATACTCATTCATAACCGGTATATGTATATGTATAGATTTTCAATATTTTTATATCTAGAACAGAATCTCATATTACTTGAAAGCTTTGATATTTGGAAAGAATACGAAGTAAATTCAAGTAGGCTTTTTCTGTACTTTCATTAGTTAACATTACTAATGTTAAACTAGTAAAATTAGTTTTAAATTTCACACTGGTCTAATATAAGATTATGACATTGTATAATTATGTTATTGTACAAATATAGAAGAGAAATTTTTAACTGAAATCAAATCCTTAAACTATATGTGTATATGCGTATTTGAAGGAATACTTTTATATACATAAATTATGCTAAATCATTCGTTTAATGTGTTTTCTAAATAAATATAATTGATGTCGTTTATTTAAAAATACTAATACTTTTATAATAGCTAAATGACAATAGTGCGCTTTATAATGTGTGTCATATATATATATAAAAATAACGTTAAAATGACACGATGACAAAGATAAAATTAATGTTTTCATTTAGCGCTTAAATAGAAAAGACCTTGTGCTACGGATTGATTAAATTTTTAGCGCCGCGACTGTGTAGCGCTCATTTCGTTGTTCTCGTTAAAGTCAACATGGGGTACAAGAGGGGGTTAAAATTTGGTACAGCGCTTACTGTATTAATAGTTTTAATTGCTGTTTATTATAGGAATACAGAAAACGTTCTTCAAAAACGTTTACAAGCTTTAATTCACGGGCTGGAGAAACTTGAAAATAAACATGTGATAACTTCTAGGCCAAAAGTCGCGATAGGTTATGGTGTTTGTACTGACGTTTACGTTAACGCTAAACAGTTGCTGACATATTCTGAAAAAATTGGACGACCCGAACATTTCGACGAAATTAACACGGAAATCGAGCTATTAAAAAGTTTTGCGTATTATTTTCGTCATGGCGCCGCTGCCGAGTAAGTTTCTTAATTGCGATCAAATTAAAAAAATACTACATATTTATGAATAAGACATATAAGAAGTATATGTAACAGATTTTATGTTTTAAGGAGATACATGGCAAATCGGACATTGTTTGATATGCTTGTCGCTAGAGCCAGATCATTTCCATCTTCATATTCTACCATTGGCGGTAATGCAGCTATCATGGCATTACGATTTGCAAAAGAGGGATGTGACGTTACGCTTGCTGCAAAGCTTACTAGATCCTTACATCAGATGATGCCGCAAGTTATTAATATCGTTGGAGGTGAAACAAAACGAGATGACATTCATTTAGTTATAGAATATAAACATGGAGATGTTTGGGGTCCATATTCTAGTGCCAGAGCTAATAGGTAAATAAGAAGACATTGAGAAATATTGTAACAAAACGTCGAGTAATTGTAGCAAAGCATTTAAATAATTTCCAGGTATATAGTTCATAATGATGCCAACAATCCAATGATCAGTTCTTTTGAAGCATTCGATAAGCTTTTATCGACCTATGACCCTCATTTACTTGTTATTAGTGGTTTGCAAATGATGGACAATTATCCGCTTTTAGATGGTAACTGAAATTCCGTTTTTGACTAAGCTATCTTAACGAAGAACAGTTTTACTACTATATGAAATACATTCACTGAAATTGCAGGTGAAAAGGAAAAACTTTTGCTTAAAGTGAAAAAGCAAATGGTGAATCGATCTTCATCTACTAAGATTCATTTTGAAATGGCTTCGTTCTCAGAAGAAAAGTTGCTTTTTGAATTGTGTGAAACAGTTATACCATTTGCTGATAGTTTAGGCATGAACGAGCAAGAAATAGCTAATTTACATAATGCAATGTACTATGGTAACATATCTTTAGTAGCAAACTCAACGCCCCGTATTGCAACAGTTTTAGACCAAATGCGAACGTTATTCAAACTTATCCGTACGAGAAGCAAAAACATTGCTCATTCTCGACAGTTGACAAGAATTCATGTACATACGTTAGCATATCAAGCTATATTTACTACAAAAAATTCTATGTGGAAAAATACAATGGCTGCAGCAGCTAAAGCATCGTTAACAGCTCATAGGCATGTATGTGCAACAAGCCACGTAAGTAACTAACTAAATAAAAATTTGTATTCCCATTAGATAGCAAAAGTAATGCTGATTCACATGCACACACACACACATATATATATATAATATTTCAGGTTGACATTAAAAAAGCGACATTAATTTTGGATGACAGTTTTTCAACGTCTATCGTTGACGGTACTCGAATAGCACTAGATATCGAGAAACCAGTCTCTTGTTGGGACGAAATATTAAAAGTAGGAAGCGAAAATATTCCTATTCAGGTATGCGTTGCACCGGTATTAGTTTGCACCGAAGCAGCTCAGACTGCCGGTGGTGGCGATAATATTTCAAGCGCTGGTCTGGTATTACAAATCTAATTTTTGTATTTAAAGACACAATTGAACGACAATGAATTATCATAATATTCCGCTTTGGCACTCACAGGACGAATTAGATTTCGGCTTAAACTTTCGACATTCAAATGTATAACTCATTCCATGAAACATCATTCCATATGCACGTGTTACTACCACGTTTGACGTTCTATACACATAAATTTAGTAATTTTAGTTTGTTACTGCTCGATTTGTCTCAACGTAGGACGAAATGATTGTTAAATTAGATGATACGCGAATACTACGACAATACTGGATACTATTATAATACATTGAACATGTTTTTTCTGCCTAAGGTAAAATCCACGTTATACACACAGTGCCATGCCAGAACTTCTCTTTCATGAATATTCAGTAATTACAGGGAAAAAATTTCCCGTTTTAATAATATATTATGTAACAATTATGCGCTTTAAAGGTCAGGTTGTGTGATATAGTATTTAAAAGGTTCTATAAAAATAATTTTCCAACGAGAAACTGAAAAAAGAAAAAACTGACAAAGTAACGAATAAAATAAAGTTGAACAATGTATAAAGTTATGTTTCTTGTCGTTTTCTCATCCTTTTGTTTGATAGTGTTAACTCTCATTTTACACGACTCCGTCATTTATTGATGCAATAATATTATTAAATCAAATTTACAATTAGAAACTTGTTAAAACATCGTGTTTATATAGCGTTCGTATCGGCGTTCAAAATAAATGTGTCATAAAAACTAAAGCTTTCCTTACATGTCTAAAGTACCAATGTTTCAAATTATAATACCTTTATACACAAATCATTCGTCGAAATCTCGCATTTTAGTGAAAATTTAAATTTGAACTATGCAACAATGCACGTATAGTGGAAAGTAATTTTATAATATTATCAACTTTAACTTGCTGCACGCATATCTTAAAAATATCCTCCTATTCTTTTCGAACGAACTCAGATGAAAACAGTATATCCGATAAAAAATAGTAAATATTTTATAATATATTTCCGACCGTATTTTTTTTTCTTTTTCCTCTTGTTTTCTTTTTATTGAAAGAACGCTCTAGTATCAATTGATTCGTTATCAACAAACGAAAGAGAAACATTTACTATTGCCTATTTAAAATACTAGCTTATATAATTGTTCTTAATTTACATAAGGTTCATTTCGAACATGTGTAGTATATGAATTTTACATCGAGAGATACGTATCGTCGATTTGCAATTAATCAACTTTCATGAACAATAACCATTTCGAAGGAAAAGATAAAGAAACGATCAGATATACAGTGAATCTTATCAAATGGGAGAAGTTTAGTCAACAAGTGTTCTATAAAAAAAATTTCACAGTATAGTATCTCCTTCGTCAATGCCTAACATCTTTAAATCGTCTGGTCCAGGCTGAGTATCCACTTCACTTTCCGCTTGCGTGATCTCTGGCGGTGGCTGATCCATGTATTCTGGCCCATAACCAACGCAGCCTAACATACTATACATAGATGAATACATGATATTACTTTCTTGACTGTTTTGCTGCTTGGTCTCAGTTTCTTCTTTGGGGAAAATAATATTCAGAGCTTCTTGCAAGTCGTCAGGTAAAGGAATGCTAGGATCAGTTCGTTTCTCTGTAGGCTCTGGTATTTCAGAGATGTCTGGTGTTGCACCTTCCACGGCCGGTAACGGAGGTGGTGGTGGATTCTGATGATTCTGAACGAAAGGAGGAACAGTGGGCATCTGTGGTGGTGGATTTGTCATGTAAGGCGGATGACTCTGTACCGGTGGACGTACCGGTTGATGAGGAGGAAATCGTGGTTGATTTTGAACGAACGGCGGTGGATTGGACAAAAACGGCGGAGGTGGTCGATTCGTAGGGAACTGTGGTCTACTCTGAACAGACTGTTGTTGAGGTTGTTGCTGTTGTTGCGATTGCTGAGCCGAGAAAGATGGTGGTGGTCTATTTAATGGCGGTGGAGGGTGAGGAGGCAGTGGTAATTTAGACACACCCTGCGTTTGTTTCTGCTGCTCTATTATCGGTTCCTCTATCACCGTCTCCTCGGATTGATCTTCAATTTCCATGTCGACTACTTGCTGCGTCGGTTTAGTTTCATTTAACACAGGTGGAGGTGGAGCAACTAATATCTTCATCGACTGAGTTTTACTGTTCTGAACCGGTAGACTACTGGTAGAGCTGCTATTATTGTTACTGTTATTGTTAGCATTGTTAGTACTACTGTTACCAAGGTTAACCGGGGTAGCAAGTTTTGTAATATGCACCACACCTGGTGGATTGATAATTTCATTGGGAACTTTAGGCGTATCCTCGAATTTACTTTGCTGGTAAGGAAGAGGGGTAATATCCTTTTCAGGCAATTTCGGTTCTTCCGCTTTCTTCTTAAACAATGGTAACCTACCAATGAAAGGTAACTTGCCTTTAGATACTTGCGGCGCGGACTTTTTACTCGGTATACTGCCCTTCTTGGATTTCGACGCGGATTCGTTTGTTTTCTTTTCGAATTTAGACTCGTCATTGGACGAATTGTCGTCCCGTCTGTCTTTGCCGTACTTGTCGTAACTTCTTTTCGGACTATCGCGCCAGCTCCTTTCGCGTCGCGGAGAATCGTTACTGTCTCGTTTCCTCCGATCCTCATAGTAATCCCTATCTCTGTCTCGGTCCCTATCTCTATCCCTATCCCTGTCCCTATCCCTGTCCCTATCCCTATCTCGGTCCCGATCCCTATCTCTATCTCGACCACGTCTTCTTTCGTATCTATTGTAGCGTTCGTATTTATCCTCTCGTCTTTCGTACTTTCTATCGCGATCGTCTTTGTATCTCTCGTTCTCGCGTTCTCTTTCGTCTTCCTTTTCCATCGATTTGCAACTTTCCGGCGGTTTAACGGTCATGTTAACTTGCTGTTTCGTCCAAAATCCCATGTGTGGTTTAGGCATTTCCTCGGGCTTTGGAAGCTCGATCGGTTTATTGGCAATTGGTTGCGATTTTTCTTCCTCTTTCTTTATCCAAAAAGGTTTCGGTGGTTCCTTTGGTCCCCAAGCTTCTAAACTCTCCGCTTTAACCTTATTGGAGAAAGAAGTTTGCTCCTGTTCTTCTTCCTCCTCTTCTTCGATCGTTTTTTCTTGACTCAATCTTCGATTACTGATGGATTTCATTTCCTCCTCCTGCTTTGCCTTTAATTTATCTCTAATCGAATTTAACAACTGTCTGTCGTCGGTTTCCACCGCTTGCGGTTCCGGAGTAGGAGGTTGATTCAAATGCTGGGCCATTTTCGACCAATGACCTTTCAGTTTTATCCGATGATAATCTATTTCCTCGTTGAGGATCGCTTGAGTCGAAGCTTTCATTTTATTGCGCATAGCGACACGAATGCTCTTGGACATGTCCTGATCAGAATCGGTGTCAGAATTTTCGGATTCGCTGGAACTGTCGCTACCGCTGCTTCTATTTCTTCGTTTCTTAGATTTCTTCGATTTCTTTTTGCTTTTCTTCGACTTCTTTTTTGGCGGTGGATCGTCGTCTTTGTGTTTCTGTAGTTCCATTTGTATCTGTTTGTGCTTCTCCTCCGAGAAAGCTTTCTCGCGATCTGCCATCCAATCAGTTTCCCAATGAGGATTTTGGTCAACGAAATGCTACAAGAGAATAAATAACGAAACGATAAGTTCGAAATTGTTACGCAAAACGAACGAAGAATTCCAGCGGTAAACTTACAGAATAATTCTCTGAATGTTGTTTGGATTTCAAGTGCAAGCTCGCGCAATGAAGATCACCGATCCAGGAATCGCAAAGCTTACAATACCATGCCGTCGCAGCACTGAAGAACTGCAGACCTATAATCAAATAATTGAACATTTAGCATTACTTAAGCTTTGAAAATGATAAACAATTTAAGTTCATAAAGAATGACCTTATATTCTGCCACGACACATTCATGTCACTGAAAACAAAAATAATATATTAAAAGATGCTCAACAAATGTCCGATAACATTAAATACTCTTCACTGATCCCGCGTCGATCGCTAGAAGAAGAAAGGAAAGGGCGGAAAAACTGAAACTTTATTTGTACAGATATACCACAGTGATCATACACGTAAAGTAAAAAAGTATAAATTACATAAAGTGTAACTGTAACATTTCTTTCCGTACGTACTGCAATTGTCGCCCTTCTTTCTTTCTTTCTTTCTTTCTTTTTTGCACTTTACTTTCGATCGATATCTCAACTATTATAATTATATACACGTACCAAAGCGTACGTGTATACTTAGAAAAGTTACGGCATTTACAGTACGTCTTACAAGAATATCTCGATTTATAATATATGCCATGAACGTATTCGTAAATATAACAAATACGTTGAGTGAAATAAGTAACACGAGCGAATTAGCCACATTGTACACATTTCGTATAACTATATACATTATTTGTATTTTATACACGCACCATCATTATTATAAACGTTGATTTATATAGATACATTTTTCACATTAATAAAAATCTTCGTATGTTCATTCTTGACCGTAAATAGAGCTACGTGCGACCAATCGACGAACGATACTACACTTGCGAAGAATAATTTTAAATAGTTTCGAGTTTATAGAAGCTGAAATAGATAATATCTGAAATCGCTCGAAAGCGTGCTCCTCGAGAGTCCATTTAAAATCCAGTGCATCTTTACGGTGTTTACATAGCCGCTACAAAATTTGCTGCTTATAATGTGACGCGAACAAGCATGTTTCAGAAATTAAAACAGAAATATATTGCCCCGTCGATCAAAAAACCATACGATGCTTCCGTTTCACGGGGAAAGAGAGAGAGAGAGAGAGAGAGAGAGAAAGGGAGGGGAAGAGAGAGAGAGAGAGAGAGAGAAAGAAATATAATACGATCGAATGCGAATTATTTCGAAAAATTTGGAGGAAAAGAATGTTCGGAATATAACTTTCGTTCCGTACGTAATTTGACTGTACGAGTTAATATTACGTACGTTATGGCAGACAAATTTTTTAGCAAACCATAGCCGTAGATCTCTTCAATACATACCGGACACCACAGTGTCTGTGCACAAGCTACGGAATTGTATTCTATTAGTAATTATCCACTGAAATGAACCATACCTTTGATAGGTGTTCTTTTCGTTGGCAGTCCAGGATAAAAGGGCACTTCCTTTTCCGTTCCTTCTCCATTCCGCTCATGCCATGGCATATCAACTATCTTGCGTTCCTATTATAGGGAATATAGCGTTAACGACAGTGTTTTCTACAAATTGTACGAATACTCGGTGGTACTTTTTTAACAGACATTGTTATGGCACATCAATCACGCTATGTACCAAGTACCTGCATGTCGATCGTTATCGTAATATATCATCCTTACATAAATATAGTTCAAATTAGAAATATAGTGTTAACCGAATCCGTTTGTTCTCTCACAATGTAAATCAATAATCAGTTACAGTTTTCTGCTTCCTGTTCTAATGATTGTAAATATTATTTATGGAAACGATCTTCAATTAGGAATTTCTACGTTTAATCATTGAAAGTACCTATACCAAATCTGAAGTTCTTTTACTACGGCTTTACTATCATAATTGGCAACTTACTAAACAAGCTTCTTTGTGCTCATTGCTATGCAGATGATTCAAATATTCCTTTGCCGTTTTAGGAAATATATCGCAGACTTTACACCAATGCATTTCTGGATCATAATGTACAAAATTGTACATAGGTTTAGAATCTTCGGGAGACCTTCGCTCTTTCGCGTCACGTTCGATTTTGGACTCCTTGTCGGAATCGGATGCCGATGATCTATCAGGTGATTCAGACTTTCCTTTCGGAAAATCTTCTTTAGGACTCCGTGAACGCTTGTTAATTTCTAATTTAAACTTGCTTTTAAGATCGTCTACCGTAGCTTTATCTCCTATAATTCCGGTAAGCATGTCGATAACATTGTGTATCGATTTCATTTTGTTTTGTATTTCAATCTGTAAATAGAAAAAGAGAGAGAAAAAAAAGAAAGGAAGAATTGAAGCGTAACGAAACATAAAACTATCCGAGACAGATATTTTCATCGCATTGCGCTTATTTACCTGCAACTTTTGATTTTCTTTTATAATACGATTATTCTCCCGTCCACCCTCTTTACCAATTTCATCGCACTGTTGACGTAAAATTTCCAGCTCGCGTTGCAACGTAGCAGACTTCTTAACATATTCCTCGCGTTGTTTAGCCAGTGTCGCTTTTTGCTGTTTTACTTCAGCTGCGATTGCTGCTAGGCATTCAACGATTGAAGATATCTTAAGACTGATTCGATGTAGAAATTTTCGTATTTCATATGTCAAATTTCGAATTTCAGACGTAAAAGTTACCGAAAATAAATTAAGAAATGTACCTTCTTTTCTGGCATCCTCTGGTCTTGCCAAGGACGATACCAATCCAGAAGAACCACTGTCCACTTGTCTGGATGATTCTTGTTGGGATGTTAACGTAGGAGGTGGTGGTGGTTGCTGATTATTATAAGATACCTGGTTCCCTTGCCAGTTCGGTGGTGGATAATCCTAACAAAATAAACATACGCTTGATGTCAAATACTCAAACATTACTTTTATTAAACCTTACCTTTAATTGTCCATACTCAAATCAGAACTTTGGATAATACACGGAAGATTCTTGAAGACGAATCATCTGGTCAATAATACTGGTTTCCAATGTCGATGCCAATAAAATAAACAACGCGAACGTTATACTTACGAGGGGATTCACAATATTTCGCGATGCAAAAGAACATAAAGTTCATCCCCCGAAAATGAATAATAATATGAAGTACTATCAAAAACATATGGAAGGTTTGTACGATGTTTTCTCTATTATTCTCGCAGACTCATTAAATACGATTAAATGCGTCAACGGGTGATAATCCAAAATGTACTCATAAACGATGAAATTTCATCGCATTGCCTTGATCACGATACAATCGTAGTTACCGTAAACCAAGGCTATCAATTTCATACGACATACAATCATTCGTCGAATACCATTTCTTTTATTAAACTTACACTGCGATAACCGGTAGGTTGTTGGTAACTATAGTCATAGCTCTGTCCATAGTTGTAGTTATAGGTGCCGTATCCTTGGTTGTAAGCCGACAAAGGTGGTGGCGGTTGACTGGTGTTCGGAGGCGGTGGTGCCTGTTGAATAAAGTTCAACGAAATTAATTATACGTTGTTTGTAACATTTAAATAATTATTTCTTATATATTCCTAAGCTGTACCTGATACTGATTGTGTACCGGTGGCACATAGCCACCAGGATTAGCTGGATTAGGAGTAGAAGTCTGAGACTGAGAAGTAGCCTGTTTCCATTCTTGCTGCGAACGGCTGGATTCTTTTCTTCTTCTATCTCGTGAACTTGAACGTGATCTTCTATCCCGGGAACGCGATCGCCTGTATCTACTTCGTCTTGGAGATGGAGATCGATCGTATTTCCTCGATCTTCTCCTATGAGACGAATCCTCTGAATCCGCGCTAGGACTTCTTGGTCCTTTACGTCTTGAATCTTGTTCCATTTTTCTATAATCTGGTACCAACCAAAAAGAAAGAAAGTACATTCATTGAACATGTGTAATCAGTGCTCCTGGCAGGTTATGTTATATAAAGAGATCACTGAATGACATGTAATACAAAACATATGTCTATATTACCACAATATATTCTTATACTCTAAAAACCAATACTCGATGAAATCAAGTATCTAATTAACTTAAACATTATTAAATTTTGTACGATCGTACGACGCATTTCAAGAAAGGGAAGAAACGATCAACGTCGCATTGCAGCCATTGCTATTTTGTCGATAAAATATCAGCATTATTTCTCTACATGTTTAATATCTCTAAAAAAATTTACCTTCGTCGATGGATGCTTAATAATTCTAATACTCCGTTTTCGGTAAGTACTGATATAAAATAATGAAAATAATAGACTTTAAACTGCTCCAGAATCATTCAGTCGACACGAGATTACGCAGCTCCAAAAACGAATAGAAGAAGCCGACTGCGACCATCGTCGACATGCATGGAAAATGAAAAAGTTTAGAAGATAGAACTCTGCTGGACTAAAAATTAGACTTGAAAAAGGTCACTAGATTTTACAGCTAACGTAATCAAAAACTTTGTACGACATAAAAATTCAATATATACGTATTAGTCGATAATAATATTATCTTATATATGTAAAAACAGTTTCTTTCGATTTAAAAAGCGTTTTAAAGAAATCTTTCACCATTCATATTGATTAGAGTAAGGCTAGGATTGCCATCAGTTCTTTTTCACATCGAGTTTACTTTAGTGCAGTTTATCGTTTTCTCCATTTACGTGAAGATGGCGTTAAATATGGAGTTTATGAATTGTTCTAACCTGTGTGATGGCAAGTCAGATAATTTAAATAAATCAATCGAGAAAAATACATTATAATTAGATTGGGGTATCATAAAATTATAGCCAGGTCTTCGCATAAAACTCATTGCAACGTTATATAGTTATTTTATACAGAAGTTTCCAGACCTTATATGTATCCATGATAAGGCCAAAGAGTAAGGATTACCATATGATAAAGCCATAGAATAGAGATGCAACCCTACTAATAAGGGGAATCTGGGCATAGTGAGCCCCTACGGGGCTCAGACGCCCTCTTCTTTTGAAGAGAATAAATAACTAAACTATAAGGGGAATCCTATTCATATCCTATTCTTAGTTAGTTATATGTTTGCATAAATTCACTATAGTCTACGTGGCTCTTTTTAGTTGATCAGTAATTAAAATATAATAAAGATTGAGCAGCATAATATAATTTGTAAATAGTAAGTAGTTGCGTATTTAACATATTTTTTATTAAATGTACAATGGTACATATTGTATGAAAAGACTAATTTTATTTCAACATTCTTTATAGTTTCAGTAGTTTGGATCTATTAGAATATCGTTCAGACATAATTAATAATTAGAAAGATTTCAAAATAATTCTTCTAATAATTATTCTTTCGTATAAATTAAAAAAAAATGAGTAAAACCCCTGTAGTGATGTTGCAAGATATTTCTATGAAACTTGGCACTTTACCTGTGTATATAGAAATATCATCAGTAATTGGAACGCATCGAAATCAATTTACTACTAAAGTTTCATGGCGGAATTATAGTGCTGAGGGAACAGCGGATAATAAAAAAGAAGCTAAACAAAATGCAGCTAAAAAGATGCTATCATTATTGCTGTTGTCGAATGAAATTCCAGAAAAAATATTGTTATCAATCCCAAACATGAAAACAGATTTTAAATTAAATAATTCTGTGATAACAAACGATGTATGTTCAGTAAATTCATCTGATTCGGATACAACAAAATTTATGAATTATGTAGGCCTTTTGAATGTAAGTTTTAAAATATTATTTCTGTTATAGTATTGTGTAACTGTAAAGTTGTATTAACAGAAAAACAATATTTGTTTATAGGAGTACTGCCAAGGACACAATCTATCTTCTCCTGTTTACGAAAATGTTGGCATGACTGGACCATCACATTTGCCAATGTTTACAGTAAGTTGCGCCATAGATTCCATACGTCAAGAAGGATGTGCAAATACAAAACAAGCAGCTAAACACCAAGCAGCTAAAAAGGTTTTAGAGAATTTAGAGAACAAGCCATGTTCAAATGTCAAATTTAATACAAAAACATCAGATATGGATAATCTGAATGTACAATTTATGAAAGTCTCTGTAGATGAACCTAAGTATGACAAATTGCAGGAACAAAAGATAATAGCAACTTACGGTCAAATAAGAAAAAAACCTGTTCTGTTTAAACCTCGCATAAAAATTAATGATTACGTTGAAGTATTAAGAGATTTATGTTACAACATTTCCATGAAAGATAAAAATTCTTTAAGTAAGGTGTACAATACATCTTTTTCTGTAGACTCGGACACTTTGAAAGTTATTATTTATAGAGCATTCAAAACTACAATAGAAGAAATAAGTTTTAACACAATTAATGGCGATTCTTTAATTGGACTTAAATTAGATACTCATCCTGTTATATTTCAATGTGGTATAGGTAGAACCAAAGAGCAAGCAACAAAAAATGCTTTGCATAAATTATTAGAATATATTTTCCTACTGTTGCAATGACATACAATTAATTTATAATTGTGATACATAGTAAGGGATACAATCGTATATATGTAGTTACTAACAATATTTTGCAATCATTTTTATAATTTTTACAAAAGCGAGAAAATCGTTATAATAGTTAATGAATCACTGATCATTCTTCAATTGTAAAAATACAGAAATCATTTTCAGAAAATGAGTAATTAATTTTTTTGTGCACCCACATTATACAAAAAAAAAAAAAAAAAAAAATATACTGATCGAATTGAGTAACCTCCTCCTTTTTCGAAGTCGGTTAAAAAATACACCTAGTAATGATAGTTTATTGCACATGCACGCCGCTGTGCGGGTTACCTTTTGCTCCGTACACCTCCGTCACTTTTTTGCGATCCTGCTACCAGAAGTAACTCCTAATCTTTCTCCGCTAGATGGCGCTGGCGTTACAATCTTCAGTAGATCAATCGTTTTCAAACTAATTTACCAAACATCGATTATTTTCATCGATTTTTAATATAACACGTGATACACAATACAATTTGGATTTGTTATGTTGGCAACACGAACTCGACTTTTGTCGTTTCCACCGAACCTCAATTGAACGCTACCCTAAAATTTTATAGGGTAGAGTTCAACTAAAACTTTGGTTTTTCCACCATAAAAGCGCTCACCTCAACCCGACTCTAACCCGACTCTGACCCGATTTGAACCCTCGATGGAAACTTAGTCTATGATTTCAGTTTACAATTTATCAAATACACCCTGTGTTCTTTTTCAATTGAACCTTTTCACAATCTAAATTTTGCGCGTTTACAAGTTACACATTTTGTCGCTAGATGGAGCCGCTTTTACATTATATTTCGCTTCTTCTATGTTCATACAGAATTAAGTTGGCAACGAATCCCAGCACACAACAGCCCAAGGACCGAGTGCGGTTGGCACTACCTGTTAAGGTTAGTACGATTATTCCCTGCAAGATACTCGACGACTTCTTTTTACCGCCAAAACGGTCAAAATGGATCGCACCTTCAAGAAAAACAGTGCACGCTCCGATCAATCTATACAACTTCTTACAAAGACGAAGTATCACGCTGTACAAACTTTTCGCTCGTCGTTACCTGTTCTCGTTACGGAGGCTTTGACGTTTCTCGACGAGAATACCACCACCGTCAGCGTTAATCTTTCACCCGACGGTTGGGCTTGGTTAGTATCGGGACGCAGATTACTCGTATGGCGATGCAAGCCTAACGATCCCAAACAACGCACGACTTTCAACGCCCGATGTCGCGAATTGTCCTTGCCTCAAAGCGATTTGGCTCACAAAGCGGAATGTGTCGTTGTATGGCTACAACCGGGGCAACAGGTACGCTATGCTAATTTATTTATTTATTTCTATTCCGATAACTTACTATATATATATATATATATAAATAACCCGAAACCAAAAAAAAAAAAAAAAAAAAAAAAGAGAAAAAAAAAGAGAAAACGGGAAACCTATAAAAAAAACCATATAAGGAAAAGAATGAAAACAACGTTACCGATGTCGATACCTCTTGACCCCTTTTATTCACTGTAACCGATTACATGGTACACTA